CTCTCTCTCTCTCTCTCTCTCTCTCTCTCTCTCTCTCTCTCTCTCTCTCTCTCTCTCTCTCTCTCTCTCTCTCTCTCTCTCTCTCTTCCCCCCCGTCCCTCCCTCTCTCACAGCCTGGCTCGTTGTTGCCTGCCCGTCTGTCAAGAACTCCTTAACCATCACCAAGCTAGCTCCTCAACACGCGTTGCAAGTCCGACCAATTTCCACGTTCATCAAGTACCACTAATTATCATTTTTATCGCCAAATATTCCTGTTTATTCGTTATTGGTCATCTGGTAGCCTCGTAGTGAGTGGAGCAAGACCCCCGACTCCAAGAGGGGTGGGAAATCGCTGCCCAATTCTTTCGGTGGACATAGCACCGCCACTTAATTGCAATTCATTGGTCGTAATTACCGATCCCAAGAGGGGTGGGTAATTGCTGCCAAAATTTTGTTTTTGCGAGCATTCTCTACAAACATCTCCACTTTTTGCAATTCAATTCGTTGTTCGTAATTACTGACCCCAAGAGGGGTGGGTACTTGAGGGCAAAATTTTGATTTGGGATTATTCTTTACAACCACCTCCACTTATTAGCAATTCAATTCGTTGGTCGTATTTATCGACCCCAAGAGGTGTGGGTAATTTCTGCCAAAATTTTGTTTTTGTGATCAATTCTCCATAAACACCTGATCATTCTCAGCCAAGCTCGCACCCTGCCTCTCTAAAACGTTGCTCCGCCACCAGCCCACAGACCAGCCCTGCCTCACCATGTCGCACTCTTCAACCTGGTGCCAACCACCGCCACAGGAACAGGCACAGCCTCAGGCCCAGCCTCAACCTATGATTCGGGTGCAGGATCAAGAAGAATGCGCTTTCAAAGCGAACAGGACGCACAGGGAGGCAACTTCTGGAGACAGCTCTTGAAGACTTGGGGAAAAGTCTTTCCAGCCCGATTCCACCCGCCGCAAACACGAGAGGAGCTCCTGCGACAACCATTATTCTGCAATCACTGGCTCAAGGATGAAAGGGGGAAACCGAGAACCTTGACAGCACAGGATACTAAATGGGGAACATGGCGTCTGGCAGATATAGCATCTATGGTCGGAGGAGAAGGCACGTGGAAAACAGCAAGCGACTTGTGGGCGGAACTCGAAGGGAGTCACAGATTGCTGGAGAACCTCAACGGCACACAAGAATGGAAAAGGCTGATGGAAAAAGGACCGCGACGGGGAAGCGGGTACTGGGTCTCGTGGCAGCATGACAAGGAGCCGGAAGTAGCCTTTCGGGTCCAGAAGAAAGAGGGACCGCAAGGGGGCTGGCTTAAGATGGAGATGTTCGAGACAGAAAGAACGGGGGCTACCACCAGCAAACTTAACAAGGACACAAGGACACCAGTCACAATCCGCCTGGAGGCAACCCAGCGAATAGGGGTAGTAGAAACAGAAGACATCACCCATCTACTTCCCTACCATACCACTGGAGGACCTGGAGGTAGACCCAGCAGAGTGGGCCTGGAATCTGAGAAGCGGCCGCTTGAACATATCCCGAAGAGTCAATGTGCTACAGTATCCAACTTGATTAGGCTACAGACTGAGGTGAAGGTCATACCCAATGGAAGAAACACTGATAAAGCGATGGAAGGACAAGATGGAGGTAACCCTAACACAGCTACCAGGCATACCTGGGTCCCAACTCCACACTATCAGACTGGGAAAAGTAAAGAACTTACAATGGCTGATTTTACATGTAGCGCTTCCTGTCAACACCTGGCTAACAGCGCGGAGAAGGAGCACAGGGACCCGAGCAATGAACTATGCAAGCTTTGTACAGAAGGCAACAGAGAACAATGAGCCATTGCCTCATGAAGTGCCACAACGCAAAGCAAATACGACGAATGGCAAAGGAATTCTGGGCTGAGATCTCGGACGCCTGTTCCCAGAGGACAGAGTCCTGATACTGACAGGGAACGCCCTTCCCGCCAAATGTACAACCTTTGAGAAAAGGAGCTTCCAGCTGCTTAGACAATACGGCCTTTGGACAATTTGGAAGAGAAGGTGTCAACACAAGATCGACAACAGCCAATTGATGTCCAGGAAGATAAGGAGATCTTCAGAAGCCTGCTGGAAACGGACATCAGAGCACAATGGAACAAGATGAAGAGAAAGATCAATCGCAACCCAGCGGATGCCCAGGTGCTCATCAAAACATTCACTCAAGCAGTTCTGGGACAAGAGAAGGTGGCAACGATAGAAGACCACAGACTGCTGTTATGATTCTGGTTGTTCGTTGTCTGAACACCAACACTCACTCACATAGACTTCCAGGTATGCCCATACATACA